GTGGGAGGGGTCCCAGACTGTGAGAGGGCACAGGCCAGGCTGAGGGACCCCCCTCCTTCCCCCGAAGTGCACAAATTTTTGTGCACCGGGCCTCTAGTAAAAAAATAACAATAGCCAACAGAACAATAGCCATCCAATGTGAATGAATCAAAATTATACCTATTTTTTTGTCAGATCAGCAAAAAAATATTTTTGGTTGTGCTGGAGAATTTTAATAATTAGTTCATGTGTGCCCTAAGATGAAAAAGTTTGAAAATTGCTGCTTTAATCACCTGCTTTTCTCTATAGGTCATCAGCTCAATGAGCTCTCTTTCTGAGTACTGCCTGCCTTCCATTCTGCGCACATTGTTTGACTGGTATAAAAGGCAAAATGACATTGAGGATGAATCACACGAATACAGACCAAGAACAAGCAATAAATCAAAAAGGTACATTTCTTTTGCATAAGGATTTTGAGAATTATGGTTTCTTTTTATTTATTTTTCTTTTATTTTCTTCTTCCTCCCTCCCTCCTTTTCTTCTTTCTTTCTTTCATTTTGTTTAAGAAATGTAAATCAAAATGAGAGTTAAGAGGCATCTAGGTATTCCTGCCTCTTCTCACAGTTACCTAGCAGGTGCAGGAGCTCCTTATTTGGCAGGTGGCACATTTGGAAAACTAGTCACTGGCAGCTGTCATAGGTTGAAAATTCATACAGGGCCTTATTTCAACATTGGTGGGGCAAGGTGTAAGGGGCCAAGGTTACCCTCATACCTTTTCTGTGCCCTCTCGCTTCCAGTCTACACCTGAAAGCAGAAGGGCTGCTGCTTGCCCTGCACGACACTGTCTGGATGTTTTAGTTCTTCTCAGTAACCTTGAATGCCCAGTGTACTGTGAAAAGATGCTGGGTTGGACATTAGCCATAGTCGTGGAGCTGCCACTAATTAGCCATGTGACTTTGGGCAACTAACCACCTCTCTGTATCTCAGCCATGAGCAAAGTAGGGAAGTCAGATTATAGCATCTCTAACTTCTGTTCCATCAAAAAATTTTGTTTATTTGTTATGTGCATTTGGAAAGTAGAACTTGCTGCTGCATGAGCACTTTGGCAGCCACAAAACTTGAAATTCTCATACTGTCCAATGAATATACGTTTCTCTAAATTTTAGGTAAATAAATGTAATTTCATATGTTTTAAATCAACCTCCTTTAATACATTTATCTTTTTTTATTCTTTGTTGATTAAAGTATG